ATAAGTAAATTCTTTTATTTCATTGTGGTAATCATTTTTGATCGTCCGTGGGACGGAGTGATATCATTTCCATGTGTGGTCTTGCAGGTGTGGAATTCCAACACTGAGTGCTCAGGTATGTGTAACGCCAGTGATTCCTGGCAATGATTATTGTGAAGTGTACCACAGTGTGGCTCTAAATTTCTTGTATTTGTTCCCAGGGCCGTGACAAGTGTGATTTATATATATATATATATATATATATATATATATATATATATATATATATATAAATATATATTGTGGTTGCAGTATTAATTAACGTAATTTTGGTGAGTTTTGGTGAGTGACGAGGCCGTCTAAAGAGACCGCCCCCGCTCTGTCGAGTAACGTAACTCTCGAGTGTTTATCGACATGCGTGATCGATAAATCACTCACCCATGTGATTTAAGGAGTGTGAGATTCTCCTTAGTGTTCCCAATAACGTTTAATAGCTGTAGGCTACATGTGTCAGCGGTAATTATATATATATATATATATATATATATATATATATATATATATATATATATATATATATATATATATATATATATATATATATATATAATCGTAGTGTCACGGTGCCCAGTGTTATTGTGTTATTTACTGTGTGGTGATTGCAATATATTGACCTATGTTCTAGGGGTCATTTGCAACAGTAAGTAAGTAAGTGTGTGCAGTATCCTAATATTTGGAAATTAGAGTACTTGCCGTGTGTGTTATTGCAAAGGGGGTTGTTATTTGATGGTGATTGTTGCTAGTGTTGAGCAATCACTGTATGTGATTGCAGTCCAGTAAAGCCATTGTGGGGCAGTGTTCTAGAGGGTTCATGTCCTGTAGGTTATTTTACTAGGTTGTGCAGTATTGTCATTGCAACCGGATTGTAACGTAAATCACTGTGATTTGTCATTGTCGTGGGGGAACTCGGCTGTAGACGAGTACTTGGGTACACATATATTCTCCTGGTTATCTGGTAGGCAATTAATATAACGTAACCAAGGGAACGCCCATTGCTTTAAGAGAATTTGTTCTTTGACAATTTGAGTAACGTAGAATACGTTTGGGTTAATTTACTTTCCTGTAAGCAGCTACGGTAGTCTCGAGGAGCCTAGCCATCAGCCAGATAAGAATTAGAGTATTGTCTGTCGTAATTAACAGTCAGTGGGCCGGGTAATTGACGTGTTTCAGGAAGTCAAAGTAATTAATCTCGATCCTTGCTTGATCGACTCACACGAAGGCTACATTGTTCCATTAACGTAACGTCGTTATCTGCCCGGAAGTACCGGCACTTGATTGACTCGTGGGAGGAGTAGCGTCATTTTAGAATAACGTAAACGTGGGGCTAATTACTGTTATTAGTCGCCTGAATTGGTCTGAGTATGGAAGGCTCAGACGGAATTCGTACCTTAATGTAAATTGCTGAGCCAGTGTGAAAGGTTGCGTATTTTAATTGTTTAATTATTGATCTTGAGGATAGTAATTAATTACTCTAAAGGTAATCACGAGTGATTACCGTTCTCTTAGCACTTTGGACATTGCAAATCAGAGTTTACCATCGCTGAGTGATTAGTAACCGATTAACGTAACTAGTAAAGAGATTTAATCAGCTGTCTGGTAGTACAGGGATTAATGGGCTTTCCTCACTGAATGCTCGACGGGTAGAGTGTTGTTTGATTCCCGCGTTACTAGTGACAGTTGTATTGTTGTTAATTTAACGTAAATGTTACCTTGTTATTAACGTAAATGTTATTGTGTTATTAACGTAAATCAATTGTTATTGATTGTTGATCGTCCGTGGGACGGAGTGTTAACGTAAGGATTACTTTGAGGAAGGGTGCTGGAGTTGCCAGTGAACCCATTAGTCATTGTTGTCATTGAAAGACTACTGATTTGATTGCATTGCAACCGCTGTTGAAGGAGTAGACTGCACTGAGGCGTAGAACAGTTAGGAGGTTACTGGAGACGTGTTTCAGAACCTACTGTGTCATTTGTTGTAATTGTGATTATAGATCTGTTAGTTCTTGCTTGCTTGTTGATTCCTCTGTGGTCACACTTATGTTCGAGTTAGTTCATTCTGCAGTCCGAGGGGCTGGTGTCTAGCTGTCATTGATAGTGTCACAGGAAGGATTTCGAGTAACGTCATTGACATTTCTTTTGTTTTGTTGTAGTAGTTAGTACTTTATTGAATAAACTAAGTTGTTATGGTTAACACTGTCTTTTAGTTACACCCCCACACATTATTATTGTTATGCAAATGTTCTTCACACTCGACTAAAATTGAGACTAATTTTCTGAGCTTTGGATCAAATATACGGCACCACACAACAATAAATTATTGTTGTGAGAGCCCTTGACTTACTCGTTAGATTCGCTTCGGCGATTGGCGAAGGTCGGCGGCCTAGTGGGGGGATTTCAATTTTCATTAGGGTCTCGGCGTTTGCTCGCGCCTAGTCAATTGTTCATACATGGTCCCAAAGTGAGGAATGAGCTGTTTACTACACTGGTGTGTTAGCTAAGCAAGTCCTTCCTCAGGCGACCTAGTTGAATATCACGACAGGAATAAAGGTTAAAGAATAAAGAAAGTTCTTAGAAATTTTCAGAGCTAAAATTCCTTATACCAATTATAATTTATTCCAAAACTTCTCACAAGTTAACAAACTCAAACTCTCACACTGTGAATGGTCCAAAGGTAGACTGTGTGGTAGACAAAGGTGGAGTTTCTGACCACCACGCAGATTACCCATCTGCGGGTGATGAGTGAAATAGCGAATATATGTGATATTAGATGAAACAAGCAAACAAAAAATTATGACAGGCGGTTAGTGATTTACTGTCCATTATTTTTAAGCAAAGTTCAATGTAATGCTTGGGTGTAAAATCCCACCGGTGCCACCATTGTTGTGACTGATATACTGCTGCCACCATTGTTGTGACTGATATACTGCTGCTACCATTGTTGTGACTGATATACTGCTGCCACCATTGTTGTGACTGATATACTGCTGCCACCATTGTTGGGACTGATATACTGCTGCCACCATTGTTGTGACTGATATACTGCTGCCACCATTGTTGTGATTGATATACTGCTGCCACCATTGTTGTGACTGATATACTACTGCCACCATTGTTGGGACTGATAGACTGCTGCCACCATTGTTGTGACTGATATACTGCTGCCACCATTGTTGTGACTGATATACTGCTGCCACCATTGTTGTGACTGATATACTGCTGCCACCATTGTTGTGACTGATATACTGCTGCCACCATTGTTGTGACTGATATACTGCTGCTACCATTGTTGTGACTGATATACTGCTGCCACCATTGTTGTGACTGATATACTGCTGCCACCATTGTTGTGACTGTGATAAGCCTGGGAGTTGGCTGTTGTGATTGACAGCAAATATTACACATATTTCAGAATTAGTAAAACGTTGTTAAATATTTCACTGTATCTGACACAAAACACGGGAAAATGAGAGTACAATGACGGGTAATACAAATGCAGATTTTCATTAATGCATTTCATGTTGGTTCTACATTCGTCGTCATTCCAAGGTGCAGTGTGAACCGGAGAAAACTGTTGGAAGAGACCCTTTTGATTGTCTATTCTGATCTCGTCGGCTAATATCTTTCGTTAAATTAACTGTGTGTGTGTGAGTGTGTATATGAGAGAGAGAGAGAGAGAGAGAGAGAGAGAGAGAGAGAGAGAGAGAGAGAGAGAGAGAGAGAGAGAGCAAAGCATCGAAGTCTGTAATTAACACTAGTAAAAAACACATATAACATTTTTCATTTACGTATTCAATTAGCTAAAAATACAATCATAATCCATCATTTCTCGAGAGTACGGAAACCATATTTCAGGAATTTGACGAGCAACTTCAACTTCAGGAATTGTTGTTGGTTTTGTTATTGCATTGATCAAAATTGAAATTAATAATCTGTTGTTAGTTTCTTCATTCATCATCAGGCACGCTCCAGTCAGACACTATTTAGACGGACGCGCGCAACAGCGTACGCGCTCAGATACACACTCTTGAACTGTTTGGTATAGGGACGACCCCGCTTCTTGCAGGGCTAAGTTCGATACCCAAATGACCCAAATGATAGGACTCCGTTCCAGCAACCCCTCCCCCCTATCCCAGCCACTATTCTGTTCTTGTATCCCTTCCATGAGCTATACACTTATACTAAAGTTGCCCTCTCCCATAATCTTCTTCAGGGAATAGACTTTGAGTTGTCTATTCATAGTTCTTTCTAATAATGATTATTAGTATACTATTTTATTAATTTAATATCGATATTTTCCTAACATGTAGTAAAATAATTATGGATCTAGTTGTTACTGCAATGCTCAAAGCTAGAAGAGGCGGAACTAGGGAATATAAGTGGGAACTAGAAATACAAATGTCAGTAATAACATTTTCAGTGTTTGACCTGAAAACAAATGAAGTTAATTTTAAATAAACACTAATTACATCAACAACAACAACATGAACTATAACAACCGCATGAACAACGACAACAGTATGAACAATAACAACCAGATGAACAACGACAACAGCATGAACAATAACAGCAGCACGAACAATAACAGCAGCACGAACAATAACAACAGCACGAACAATAACAGCAGCACGAACAATAACAGCAGCACGAACAATAACAGCAGCATGAACAATAACAGCAGCACGAACAATAACAGCAGCACGAACAATAACAACAGCACGAACAATAACAGCAGCACGAACAATAACAGCAGCACGAACAATAACACCAGCATGAACAATAACAGCAGCATGAACAATAACAGCAGCACGAACAATAACAGCAGCACGAACAATAACAACAGCACGAACAATAACAGCAGCACGAACAATAACAGCAGCACGAACAATAACAGCAGCACGAACAATAACAGCAGCACGAACAATAACAGCAGCACGAACAATAACAGCAGCACGAACAATAACAGCAGCACGAACAATAACAACAGCATGAACAATAACAGCAGCACGAACAATAACAGCAGCACGAACAATAACAGCAGCATGAACAATAACAACAGCACGAACAATAACAACAGCATGAACAATAACAGCAGCACGAACAATAACAACAGCATGAACAATAACAACAGCATGAACAATAACAGCAGCACGAACAATAACAGCAGCACGAACAATAACAGCAGCACGAACAATAACAACAGCATGAACAATAACAGCAGCACGAACAATAACAGCAGCACGAACAATAACAGCAGCATGAACAATAACAACAGCACGAACAATAACAACAGCATGAACAATAACAGCAGCACGAACAATAACAACAGCATGAACAATAACAACAGCATGAACAATAACAGCAGCACGAACAATAACAACAGCATGAACAATAACAGCAGCACGAACAATAACAGCAGCACGAACAATAACAGCAGCACGAACAATAACAGCAGCACGAACAATAACAGCAGCACGAACAATAACAGCAGCACGAACAATAACAGCAGCACGAACAATAACAACAGCATGAACAAAAACATGAGCATTGTTTTTATCAACATTATAGTAGTAGTAGTAGTAGGCATCCTTCAGTCTCGGGAGACTATGGAGTTGCGCCCTGGTTCCAGGGCGCAAAGCCTGGGTAGGTAGATATGGAAGAGAAGCTGTCACCCATGCAGCAGGTCCCCCCCTCTCCACGTTGCTAAAATTATCCAATAGAAAGGCAAATGCCAATACACATGGTTCCAGCAACGTCGCAGGAGCTGCCAGAACGAGGTCGACGTCATCAACGAACTGCCTTAGGGGCTCCAACTCCGGATTTTTCATCGAGGTTGACTCCTCAAGCCTTTCCCAAAAGAGGGGTATGGCCGCAAGGCAGCGGAGGTTTAAAATCAGGGTTTTCCTTCCCAGGCTATCGAGTCCCATCTACCTGGAGCAGCTGGTTTTAAGGCGACAGAGGCACGCCTTCGCCCCTTCTCCTGTCGGTAAAAGCTGTTCCGCCCGACTTAAAGACTAAGCCACCCGTGCAGGAGTTGGACTTGGTTGTCAGAGGCTATTTGAGACGCATGCCGTATAGGAGCATTTTATAGGTCATGGGAGCTCGTCCCCCATTACCACCCCCTGGCTATGACAACCCCTTGGAACCATTATCAACATTAACATCAACAATAACAACATCAACAATAACAACATCAACAATAACAACATCAACAATATTAACATCAACAATATTAACATCAACAATATTAACATCAACAATATTAACATCAACAATATTAACATCAACAATATTAACATCAACAATATTAACATCAACAATATCAACATCAACAATAACAACATCAACAATATCAACATCAACAATAACAACATCAACAATAACAACATCAACAATATTAACATCAACAATATCAACATCAACAATAACAACATCAACAATATCAACATCAACAATAACAACACCAACAATCACAACATCAACAACAACAGCGCCAACCGTCGCATCCTTCAGATCATCTCAGTACACAAATTATACCCCATTAATTATTGCCTAATTGGCCGCAATCAACCAATCAAAATTTCGTGTGATCTCCTGATGTGTTCTGATACCTTCCCTGTTCCGTATGCATGAAATTCACGTTTTCTCACAGTAGTCAATTCCCGACACCAATTACGCATATAACAATTTAGGTGACAATCACCCACACAAACTGGGCCCAGTAGGTCTGTCTGTTACCATTTCTTATATATCTAATGGAACTGCAACCTGAAAGCAATCATCCTACTTTAACTCATCTAATGCCTGACTCCAGGGAACTCATTGATGTGATGAGCTAATTATACGGTTCCATTCAGAAAAACGGTGGGATTACTCAGAAGGGTACAGGAGGGGACAGGTTTCCTTTTCCGTTTACAGGATAGGATTTCTTCGTTCCTATAGCTCCTATTAAGCCACATCCTGCTAGTTTTCTCTGAGGCATGACTTCCTAATCGTTTTGTAGCCAGGTTCTAAATTGTTGCTGAGTAACGCGTATTACAGAGGGTGCCATGTATTACTGATGAGGCCACGTATTACTGAGGGTGCCACGTATTACTGAGGGTGCCACGTATTACTGAGGGTGCCACGTATTACTGAGGGTGCCATGTATTACTTAGTGTCATTTATTCCTGAGGGTGTCACGTATTACTTAGGGTTCCAGGTATTACTGAGGGTGCCACGTATTACTGAGAGTGCCACGTATTACTGAGAGTGCCACGTATTACTGAGGGTGCCATGTATTACCGAGGGTGCCAGGTATTACTGAGGGTGCCAGGTATTACTGAGGGTGCCACGTATTACTGAGAGTGCCACGTATTACTGAGAGTGCCACGTATTACTGAGGGTGCCATGTATTACCGAGGGTGCCACGTATTACTGAGGGTGCCACGTATTACTGAGGGTGCCAGGTATTACTGAGGGTGTCACGTATTACTGAGGGTGCCACGTATTACTGAGGGTGTCACGTATTACTGAGGGTGTCACGTATTACTGAGGGTGCCATGTATTACCGAGGGTGCCACACATTACTGAGGGTGTCACGTATTACTGAGGGTGCCAGATATTACTGAGGGTGCCACGTATTACTGTAGAGTGCCACGTATTAATGAGGGTGCCATGTATTACCGAGGATGCCACGTATTACTGAGGGTGCCATGTATTACCGAGGGTGCCACACATTACTGAGGGTGTCAAGTATTACTGAGGGTGCCAGATATTACTGAGGGTGCCACGTATTACTGTAGAGTGCCACGTATTACTGAGGGTGCCATGTATTACCGAGGGTGCCACGTATTACTGAGGGTGCCACGTATTACTGAGGGTGCCAGGTATTACTGAGTGGGCCACTAACGGACCACCACTAACCCAGCCAACCAGCAGCCTGACCCCCACCAGCCGGCCGTCACAACCACAGCAGCAACAACACTGTTCCCAATTTACCGCCTAAAGGCAGGCGGCGCGTCGGAACTCCCCACACAACTTGCGGAACTGTGTTCGGATACGTCCAGGACTCAAACATGTTATTTATTAGCTCTTCCTCGCTGTTGCTGGGCCTCACGAGGAGCAGGAGGATTGGAAAAAAGTAAATGAATAGAGAACAATAAGGGTTGTTCCTCAAGGTAAATCTTCTTAGCGTTGCTTTCAGGAATAATTTTTAAGAATGAGTAGCCAGAAAGCTTATGCAGTTGGGCATTCCAGGCTCGTGCGTCCCCACCATCCCGTCTCTGCGTCTTCGTCTCCCTGGAATGAGGAGATCGACGCCAGGCGCTCTTTGGCGCGGCGCCTGTGTTTATATTTTTGTCTCTCATGTGATCACACCTTGAAGACTGGAGGGATCAGTCGCACAACACGACTGTATAAGGCGGAGAGAGAGAGAGCGAGAGAGAGAGAGAGAGAGAGAGAGAGAGAGAGAGAGAGAGAGAGAGAGAGAGAGAGGGAGCGAGAGTGGAGAGAGAGAGAGGGAGAGAGAGAGAGAGAGAGAGAGAGAGAGAGAGAGAGAGAGAGAGAGAGAGAGAGCGAGAGAGAGAGAGAGAGAGGAGCGAGAGAGAGAGAGAGAGAGAGAGAGAGAGGAGAGAGAGAGAGAGAGAGAGAGAGAGGGAGAGGGAGAGGGAGAGGGAGAGAGAGAGAGAGGAGAGAGAGAGAGAGAGGAAAATTCAAAACAAGAGAGGTTACGGGATTATCTGGTGGGAGAACAAGCCGCCTCTGCAGGTGCTCGCAGGAGGAGCTAGGGGGTTTGAGCCATTCAACAGTCTCTCCCAAGCCACCACTCAACAGTCTCTCCCAAGCCACCACTCAACAGTCTCTCCCAAGCCACCACTCAACAGTCTCTCCCAAGCCACCACTCAACAGACTCTCTCATGCCTCCACTCAACAGACTCTCCCAAGCCACCACTCAACAGTCTCTCCCAAGCCACCACTCAACAGACTCTCCCAAGCCACCACTCAACAGTCTCTCCCAAGCCACCACTCATCAGACTCTCCCAAGCCACCACTCAACAGTCTCCCCCAAGCAATCACCCAACAGTCTCCTCCAAGCCACCAGTCAACAGTCTGCCCCGAGCCACCACCCAACAGTCTCCACAAAGCCATAAGTCAAATTTTTCCCCAAAGCTACCACCAAACAGTCCCCCCCAAGCCACCACCCAACAGTCTCCCCAAAGCCACCACCCAACAGTCTCCACAAAGCCACCACCCAACAGTCTCCCCAAAGCCACCACCCAACAGTCTCCCCAAAGCCACCATTCAAATTTCTCCCCCAAGCCAACAACCACCAGTCTCCCCCAAACCACCAGTCAAATGTCTCTCCAAAGCCACCACCCAACAGTCTCCCCAAAGCCACCACCCAACAGTCTCCCCAAAGCCACCAGTCAAATTTCTCCCCCAAGCCACCAACCAACAGTCTCCCCCAAGCAACCAGTCAAATGTCTCCCCCGAGCCACCAACCAACAGTCTCCCACAAACCACCACCCAACAGTCTCCCCAAAGCCACCACCCAACAGTCTCCCCAAAGCCACCACCCAACAGTCTCCCCCAAGACACCAGTCAAATTCCTCCCCCAAGCCACCAACCAACAATCTCCCCCAAGCCACCTGACAACAGTCTCCCCCAAACCACCACCCAACAGTCTCCCCCAAGCCACCATCCAACAGCCTCCCTAAAGCCACCACCCAACAGTCTCCCCCAAGCCACCACTCAACAGTCTCCCCCAAGCCACCAATCAACAGTCTCCCCCAAACAACCACTCAACAGTCTCCCCCAAGCCACCACTCAACTGTCTCCTCCAAGCCACCAATCAACAGTCTCCTCCAAACCACCACTCAACAGTCTCCCCCAAGCCACCACTCAACCGTCTCTCCCAAGCCACCACTCAACAGTCTCTCCCAAACCACCACTCAACAGTCTCCCCCAAGCCACCACCCAACAGTCTCCTCCAAGCCACCACCCAACAGTCTCCCCCAAGCAACCACCCAATAGTCTCCCCCAAAGCCACCACCCAACAGTCTCCCCAAGCCAGTACCCAACAGTCTCCTCCAAGCCACCACTCAATAGTCTCCCCAAGCCAGCACCCAACAGTCTCCTCCAAGCCACCACCCAACAGTCTCCCCCAAGCCACCACCCAACAGTCTCCCCCAAAGTCACCACCAAACAGTCTCCCCCAAGCCACCACTCAGCAGTCTCCTCCAAGCCACCACTCAATAGTCTCCCCTAAGCCACCACTCAACAGTCTCCCCACAAACCACCACCCAACAGTCTCTTCCAAGCCACCACTCAACCGTCTCTCCCAAGCCACCACTCAACAGTCTCTCACAAACCACCACTCAACAGTCTCCCCAAGCCACCACCCAACAGTCTCCCCCAAGTCATCACCCAACAGTCTCTTCAAAGCCACCACCTAACAGTCTCCCCAAGTCATCACCCAACAGTCTCCCCCAAGTCATCACCCAACAGTCTCCCCCAAGCCACCACTCAACAGTCTCTCCCATGCCACCACTCAACAGTCTCCCCCAAGCCACCACGCAACAGACTCCCCCAAAGCCACCACCCAACAGTCTCCCCCAAGTCTTCACCCAACAGTCTCCCCAAAAGCCACACCCAACAGTCTTCCCCAAGCCACCACCCAACAGTCTCCTCAAGTCACCACCCAACAGTCTCCCCCAAGCTAACACCCAACAGGCTCCCCCAAGCCGCCAATCAACAGTCTCCCCCAAGCCACCACTCAACAGTCTCCCCCAAGCCACCACCCAACAGTCTCCCCCCAAGTCATCACCCAACAGTCTCCCCCAAGCCACCAATCAACAGTCTCCCAGAAGCCACCACCCAACAGTCTCCCCCAAGCCACCACCCAACAGTCTCCCCCCAAGTCATCACCCAACAGTCTCTTGCAAGCCACCACCCAACAGTCTCCCCCAATCCACCAACGAACAGTCTCCCCAAGTCACCACCCAACAGTCTCCCCCAAAGCCACCACCCAACAGTTTCCCCCAAGCCACATCCCAAGAGTCTCCCCAAGTCATCGCCCAACAGTCTCTTCCAAGCCACCACCCAACAGTCTTCCCCAAGCCACCACCCAACAGTCTCCCCCAAGTCATCACCCAACAGTCTCTTCCAAGCCACCACCCAACAGTCTCCCCAAGTCTTCACCCAACAGTCTCCCCAAAAGCCACCACCCAACAGTCTTCCCCAAGCCACCACCCAACAGTCTCCCTCAAGTCACCACCCAAGAGTCTCCCCCAAGCTAACACCCAACAGTCTCCCCCAAGCCACCAATCAACAGTCTCCCCCAAGCTACCACCCAACAGTCTCCCCCAAGCCACCACCCAACAGTCTCCCCCCAAGTCATCACCCAACAGTCTCTTGCAAGCCACCACCCAACAGTCTCCCCCAAGCCACCAACGAACAGTCTCCCCAAGTCACTACCCAACAGTCTCCCCCAAAGCCACATCCCAACAGTCTTCCCCAAGCCACCACCCAACAGTCTCCCC